ACAGTAGAGCCTTTAATTTACATTTCTTTAAATTTATCCTTTTTCAGGCAGTTTCATTCTCAAAATTTCTGGTCTATATCTGTGCATGTCTTCTTTGGACATTTTGAGACTACATGTCTTCACGCTGCTACTGTTTTTTTATTATTATTAATTTTAATGAAAGTTTACAGAGACTTAGAGTTTCCAGTCATTCATTGTTGTAAAGCTGCTACTGCTTTTTAACATCAGACATTCTCAGGGATTCATCTTTAAATTCTCCAAAGTAATCATTAACAAAAGTTGTAAATGCTGATTCAGAGATAATACAACACAATCTCAGCAAAGAGAGCTTAAGAACTGGATGCAAACCAGAGGTCAGGCATAATAAAATTCTTTCGAATGTATTTTAAATCTTGTTAAATATTCCTCCTTTTAATTAAAAAACCAATTAATTCTTTAGAAAAATAAATTAACAGTAAAGCCTTCAAAAAGAAGAATCGGTACAAGGTGTAACCTTTTCAGAGAAGGAAAACACAAATATATCCCACTAAAAATGATGAGGCTGAATCCTGTCACACTTGCTCAACTCCGAAAAGCAAGGCAGCCAGTCTTGTTGAGTTCTAGCACTCATAAATCCCACTGAATAAATGGCTAATTTTGTTGACCTTTTTAATATTCATATCTTTTAAATAATCACAAATAAAAGCTTTGCTTTACTTTTTCCTCTAGCTGTTTCTTAGAATTTTTATCCACCTTCAAGTTTTTTTATATTTCCTTTGTTCCATTTTCCATTTTGTCATGAGACAAAGTCATTCATGTGTTTAACTCATTTTTATCAATCGTTTCATCTTTTCTAGTTAAATATGTTAATATTTCACATGCAATAACTAAGGATGATAGAAAAAGAACTGATGATCTACAGGAGATAAGACTGGCAGAGGATAGGTCAGATTTCAGAGCTAATGTACATAAGGTGTACATGAGTAACAAGCAACTCAATGGCACATAATAACAAAAATATAATGATTCATCTTTCTTATTGCCAGTGATTTTGAACATTTCTTCATGTGCCTGTTTGCCATTTGAATATCTTCCTCTGTGAAAATTCTTTCCACGTCTTTTGCCTATTTTGTAATTGGGTTATCAGTCTTTTCCCTGTGGAGGCCTGTAAACTTTCATTATAAGACTCTTGTCTGAGATGGTATTACCAGATGTTTGTTCCAAGTCTGTAGTTTTTATTGTCACCCTGTTTGAAAAAGTTTTGGACACATGGAATTAATCTTTAGATTGTGCATTTCTGGTAGTATTCAGCAGTCTTTACACCTCGGACTAGAGCTTCTAAGCTTGATCCCTGTTTGTCTCTAATGAACGATATGGTTTTGGGCTTCCCTACCAGGTCTCGGATCCACCTTGAGTTGATTTTTGTGTATGGCATGAGATGTGGATCCTGTTTAACCTTCCCCAGGATGAACCTGTTTGTTTTCCTAGCAGCCCATGCTACACTCAATACTCTTCTCCAGCACCATGCTCAAAGGCATCAATTCTTCTATCCTCCCTGGTCATTGTCCAATTATCTGATGCCTAACAAGTGATTGCAAAGACCATGACCTGTATCAGATGCACCTTAGTCTCCAGAGAGACACCATTGTTCTTCAGTACTTTGGAGAGGTCCCTAACAGCAGACTTTCCCATCGCAATATGTCTGCAATTCCTGAATGCTGGTGCCAAGAGTGTTGACTGTGAAGCCAAGCAAACTAAAGCTTTGAACAATCTCAATCTCTTCACCATCCATCCTGATGCTGCCAATTGGTCCAGCGGTGAGAATCTTTGTCTTCTTGACATTGAGCCTCAATCCATATTGAAGGCTACAGTTCTTGACCCTCTGCAGCAAGCGCTTCAGGTCCTCCTCAGTTTCAGCAAGCAGGGTTATGTCATCTGCGTAACACAGACTGTTGATAGATCTTCCACCAATCCTGACCCCACATTTCTCCTCCCAGATAATCTGTTTTGCATACAGGTTGAAAAGGTATGGGGACAGGACATATCCCTGGCGTATACCCTTCCCAATTTTGAATCATGCAGTGTTTCCTTGCTCTGTTTTGATGACTGCCCCTTGGTCCAATTATAGGTTCCGCATTAGAACGATCAAGTGTTCTGGGATTCCCATTCTTCTCAGAGTCAGCCACAGTTTGTTATGATCGACACAATCAAAACATCACTACAAGAAAAACTAAGTGACCTAGAGAAATGGAAGAATATTTCTTGCTCATGGATAGGGAGACATAATATTGTGAAAATGACAACACTACCAAAGGCAATTTATACTTTTAATCCAATCCCAATAAAAATACCAATCCTATTCTGCAAGGAGATGGAAAATGCAATCTCCAGTTTCATTTGGAATGGAAAGAGGCCCCAAATAAGCAAAGAACTCCTTAAGAAGAGAAACAATGTAGGAGCATTTCACACCCTGATATCAAATCCTATTACACTGCCTTGGCAGTCAAGGCAGCTTGGTTCTGGTACAACGACAGACATATAGATCAGTGGAATAGAATTGAGAATCCAGAAATCAGCCCATCTACCTATGGTCAACTGATTTATGACAAGGAGATGAAATCAGTCAAGTGGGGAAATAACAACCTTTTAAACAAATGGTGTTGGCCAAATTGGAAAACTATCTGCAGAAAACTCAAGAAAGATCCACACCTCACTCCATACAAAAAACCCAACTAAAAGTGGATCATGGACCTAGGACTAAAATCCAGGACTATAAATTTTCTTAGAGAAAAGCTTCTTAGAATTCTAGAAGTCCTAATCCACAACATGAACAGTCTTCCAAGCATCCTGAAAAATCTACAACCAGGGAAGGATAAAATAGATGAATGGAACCTTCTAAGAATTAAATCCCTATGCACATCCAAAAACTTCTCCAAGAGGGTAGAAAGGGAAGCCACAGACTGGAAAAAAATATCTGTCAGATAAGGGACTTGTGTCTAGAATTTAAAAAATACTTGAATACCACAACAAGATAAAGGCAAACAACCCAACTGAAAATGGGTACAGGATATGAATAAACACTTTACCAAAGAAGACATTCAGATGACAAACACACACATGAAGAAATGTTAAAAATCCCTAGGTCTAATAGAGATGCAAATCAAAACAACTATGAGATATCATCTTATCCCAGTAAGAATAACAAAATTTAACAGAACAGCACACAACAAATGCTGGTGAGGTTGTGGAGAAACTGGAACCCTTATTCACTGTTGATGGGACTTTAAAATTGTGCAACCACTATGGAAGCCTGTGTGGCATTTTCTCAAAAAGTTGCAAAGTACCATTTGACCCAGCAATTCCAGTACTATACCCCCCCAAAATCATAACTGCCACCTAAACAGATATATGCACACCCATGTTGACTGTAGTTTTGTTCACAGTAGCAAAGAGTTGGAAACAACCTAAGTGCCCATCAACAAATGAACGGATAGAGAAACTATGGTATATTCACACAATGGAATATTATGCTGCATTGAAAAGCAAAGAACTCATGAAATATTATGCAAAATTGGTTGCCCTGGAGGTCATTATGCTGAGTGAAACACCTAAGTCACAAAAGGACAAATACTGCATAGTACCATTGTTGTAAAATGGGAATAACATCAGGGCTCAGGGGAGACTGAGAAAGATGGGATACATTATGTATACTGCTTTGAAACAGATGAGGGGAAAACACTGTTTAAAAAGAATATATGATTAGGCATTATTGTCATGACAAGAGTCCAGAGTTTGAGGGATTGTTTAAGAATGAAAGAATTTTTCTTACACTTTTCAAAGAGAAGAATGAACTCGGGGGGAGGGGTTGGTAGTGAGAAAAGTGCAACAATAAATGAATGGAAATCCAAAGTCTCTGTAAATTTTCATGAAAATTAAAAATAAATGGGGGGGGAAGTGCAGAAACCATTATGTGTACTCATTAAGGGATTACCATAGTCAAACTGTCTCTAGCATGGACTAGCTCTTCACTAGAAATCACTTTTTTCCAAATGGTTAAAATCCATATTTGTATGACACACAAATTCGTTAAGCATTCCCTATATTTAGACAGTAAGTTTGGCACAGGGTAGAGCAGGGTGTAGGGCTGTTGTACATAGGGTCACTGTGAATCACAGGCAAGTCGAAGGCATATAGCAACAGTGCTAAAGATCACATTGTATTGATTTAGAAATCTAAGAGTTCTGTGTTTTATTCTCTTACTGGACTTCGCCATGAATTCTATAGTGTTTCTTTTGCTGTAACCAATAACTCTAAAGCCACTGGTCCACTATCTTATATAAATGGCCCAAGTCATAGGGTTCATTGCACAGTATCAAAATATTCTTCTGCTCTGGGCCCAAGAACACTGATTGTCTTTTGTGTCTGCTATTCCCTATGCTGGTAGGAACAAGCAGTAAGTCCAATGTACAAAACACATTACTTCTAAACTCTGAAGACAGGGCTCTGGTAGGGAGTTGTGCTGCTAATACAAAGGATACAATTCATTTGTGACTCAAATCTCCTCCATTGAGATTTCTAGCCTCAAAAACCCAATGAAAGGCAGGAATGAATTGATTTCTATGGCAGTGAGTAAACGAGTGAGTAGTGAGAATCTGAAATTATCTTAGATTTATGAGTTTTCCCACTGCAAAGTCTAATATCATTATTTAATTTGAATAGGATGCACAGGATCCAGAGAATGTGCTGGATCAAGACAGTAGGCATGAAGTCCAGGAACCAGCATTGACTGCACATTTTAGGAGACATTCTCAACTCAGAACACAACTCATGAAATCCATGAAATAGACAGGAATATAACCACTTAACAATTCACCACCAGGATTACACATTATTCTGGTATCAACAAACATTAACAAAAGTCAGAAAGGGCAAAACACTTTATTGAATACGGCTTGAGGGATTGTCTCACTGGACCCTGCGCTCCGAGGTTTCCAAGTGTGCCCTCTAATGTCCAGGGGGTTCTAAAAGCACCTCCGGCGCATTATTGATGGACCAAACTCCTTGAATTCATTAGAGGTGACCCAACTTTGATTGAATGTGTTTAGAGAGGCCATGATAGATGCACCAGTCCATCCGGAGTAACTTCTGTAAGGAGAAGCCGTGATCTTGATGCGGGTCCCTTTGGGAGCCAACTCTTCCAGGTCTTTCAAAAGGCGTTCTTCTAGCCCTGGGAACATAGTGCTGCCCCCAACCAGCACTATATCTGCGTAAAACCTTGTCTGGATATCAGTGTAACACTTCAAGATGCTGTTGGCCACCATTTTCGAGAGTCCAGGGCTGTGGATGCCCAAAAGGTCAGGTGCAAAGAGGACCTCAGGCACTTGGTACAGCTGGTCCTCCACCTTGATCACAGTTCCATCTGGCAATTGACATTCTTTCTGGACTTGCTCAGTCTCAACACTCAGCTCCTTTTCTGGCTCAAAGGCCACATAGCACAGCTTCTCTTTGATATTAGTCACCACACGTCTGTTAAGTATGCAGGGGTTGGTATGCCCACTGGCTAGTAGGAGCCGTATGAGGTATTCTGTGAGGTCTCTTCCTGCCAATTGGAGCTTATTGATGGCATGGGGCAGGGAGTAACCCTCGAAAACTGGGACTGTGCAAGTTATCCCATCCCCACTTTCCACCACCAGTCCTGTGATGCACGCAGAGGCATAGAGTGCTACTACTGAGTGGTTGACCAGCTGGAAGGCAGGAACCCTCAAGGTCTCAAACACCACTTCTGCCATCTTCTCACGAGTCTCTTTTGAGTTAAACGCAGGATCAGTCATGACCAGGGGCTGTTCACTGGGTTTCACACCCAGCCTGCACTCAAAAAGGTAATGCCACAGCTTTTCCATATCATCCCAACCCATGACTAGTCCACGTTCAATGGGGTAGTGCAAGTGTAGGGTCTCATACTTGTATAGGGCTTCTTCCCCCACAAAGTAGTTCTTCTTATTTTCTCTTGAGGAAGACAAATCTAATTTGGGATGCCCCACAACTGAACTGATAATGTGACGGGGTGACATTTCTCCAGAAAAACCTGCTTTGCAGACACCTGACCCGTTATCTAAAATCACAGCATTAGAGTGTAATATGCATGGACTAAACATGTCTACTGAATTCTCTTCTGAGTTTCCCCCAAAGAATAGTACACTCTTTAGTCACTTTGCGGCACAAAAGTAAGCTCACATTCCAGAGGCTTCCAGTGCGCAGGTTGTTCTCTAGGTAGAGCTAGCAGGGTGTTCCATGTCCCTCATCCCATGAATCTGTTCTCCTTTCCAGCCCAGAGCCTACTGTGATCTGTTGAGTGATTACTGTCCCCTAGGTAACAGTGTAACCAGGCAACAATTATATGCCGTAAACATCACAGGGGCCTTAAAGGGACAGGACTCTGGCACAATAGTATCCCACCTTCTTGGTTTGACAGGGAGCTAAAGCCAGCAAGTCATATTCCTATGTGTGGTTTTCCTAAAAGGTGCCTAGACTCAGAAGTAAGAGCAGCAACCCACCTATGGATTGGTCCCACAGAGCTATCTTTGTGAGGTGCAGTTGCTATTTGGAGATGATAAAAATGCACTTCCCTTTGCCAAAAGTTGGCACTACATAACAGACACACAGCCAAGCCAAACTTCCCGTGCAGGAAACCCAGTTCCAGCAGACTTTAATTTCTATCTTCCTTATTCATCTCTCTATTTGTTATTATTTTGTTATTGGATGGTTACATAGACATGTAACTCCCATATCATACCATTTAAACAGGTAAATTAAAAGCAAACCTCTCTAGTATGTTTATGAATACGTTCCATCAGTTGTGGTTATGCACCTTCCAGTGGGAACTGAACATAGCTCTCGGCAGTTTTCAGAGGCAGTAAAGCACATGGTAGCAGGCATCAAAAAAATCAAAATACATGTTGTGTTGGGAAAATCTGCTATTAAGGACCTCTCCAATGTGCCTTTAGTAAGGGTTTCAGTTTAAAGAAGAAAATGTACCTGATCCAAGTGATAGTATTTTCAACTACTTCCTATTTATCTAATACTTGGACAATGAATAAGGATGACAGAAGATAATTTAAGCCTTTGATTAGTGGTGTTGGAGAAGAGTGCTACATAATCTATGGAATTGCAAAAGAACAAACAGATGTGTCTGGGGGAAAGTACTTCCAGAGTGCTTCTCGGAGGCAAAGATTTACAGAAGAAAGGTTACTGAGGAGTCTTCCTACAATCTTGATTCCACATTCTTCTTCATAGAGTCCAGCTTCACAAATAATTTGCTCAGCATACAGAATGAATAAATATGAAGAAAGGTTACAGTCCTGACATACATCTTTCCTAATTTAAACCATGTAGTGCTGCTGTGCTCCGTTCACACAACAGCCTCTTTGGTTTTCTGTAAGTTTATCATGATCACAATTAAATATTTTGAAACTCCCATTCTTCTCAATGTCAACCATAATATGTTATGATCCACACAGTCCAATTCCTTTGCACAGTCAATAAATCACAAATGGATATTTTCTTGGCATTCTTTGTTTTTCGCCAGGATCCATCTGGCTTTTCTACATCCAGTTTGAACTTTTGGAAATTCTATGTGTGTACTGTTCTATCAGGTTTTTTAATGATCTTCAGCAGTATTTTACTTGTATGTGATAGTATGTCTTCTTGATCTACTGGGCCTTTAATCACTATATAGTGCCATTCCTTATCTTTTATGATGGTTTCCATCCTGAAGTCTATTTTAACAGATTAGTATTGCCACTCCTGCTTTTTTTGCCATTCTTTCTTTTCTGCTATATTGTCTCTCCAGTATGTTGAAAAATTCTGCCATTTCGGTTTTCATATTCTAGACTGCATTTTTGTGCATTTCTGGTTTTTTGTTTTGTTTTTTCTTGTTTATTTGTTTTGTTTTGTTTTTTAATGACTGTGTTGGTTTTACCCTTTCTGTCTTGTGAAGACTTCTAAAATTATTTTATCTCATTATTCATGGCAGGACTTGATCCAGGGGCTGCGTGGTTGAAGAGTCAAGGGAGATAACAGTGCCTCTTCCATTTGTTTTAGCTTCTCCATGCTCTATTTTAATTTTCAGGGTCTCTTCTGACATTTTTTTTGGTTTTTCCTTCCTTCTTTCTCTTTTTAATGATCTTTTGCTCTATTCATAGATAATATCTGTGATGTCATCTCACCAGTCATCTGGTCTTCGATCGTTTGTGTCCACTGCTTCAAATATTAAGATAATTTTTAAATTCAGGTCAATAGGCTGTTTGGGTTTTTTTCTTGTTGTAGAATAATCTATATAAATTTTAGACATAAGTCCCTTATCAGTTGTGTTGTTGTCTAATATTTTTTAGCAGTCTGTGGGTTTCCTTTTTACCCTGTTGGACAAGGGTTTTGATGTGCATAGGGATTTGATTTTTTTGAAGTCTCCTTTTATCTATTTTAACCTATCCTGGTTGTAGGATTTTATTTATGCTTAGAAGTGTGTTCATGCTGTAGATGAAGGCTTCCAGTGTTGCTCCTAGTTTTTCTCTGATGAATTTTACAGTCTTTGGTTTTACTCCTAGTTCACTGATCCACCTTTAGTTGGCTTTTGTGCATGATGATGTGAAATGTGGGTCTTGCTTCATTTTTCTGCAGATGGATTATTTGTTAAAGGGTCTATGGTTTTGCCACATAACCAATGTTGTGTCCTTGTAAAAAAATCAGTTAAGCATAGGTAGATGATGGTGATTTCTGGGTTCTTCTTTCTTTTCCATCTATCTGTGTGTCCGTTGCTGTACCAGTACCATGCTGTCTTGATTACTATGACTGTGTATTAGGATTGAGATCAGGGAGTGTGATGCCTCCTGCTTTATTTCTCTTTTTTCAGTAGTGCTTTGCTTATTTGGATCTGTTTTTATTTCAAATGAAAATGGGAGAGCACCTAATGAAATTGGTAACTGTATTGCAATTGTTTTCAATTTTTACATTTTCCGGATAGAATTATAATTTTCACAATATTGAGTCTTCATATATATTCTTCTATTCCTGTAAGTTTCTTTTTGTTCCTTGCAGAAATGTTTTTTAAACTTTTCTTTGTATAGGTCTTTTGTGTCCCCAGTTAGATTTGTTCCTAAGTTTTTAATCTTGCAATTTGTAATCGTAATTGGTATTGTTTTTCTTAGCTCCCTTTCTATGCTCTGTTACTGTAAAGAAATCTAACTGATTTTTATATCCTCCTACTTTGCTGAGTGGCCGATTAACTCTAATAGTTTTCTTGATGAATCTTTAGGGTTTTCTAAGTATACTATCATATAATCTGCATAGAGCCAAAATTTTATCTCCTCTTTGCCAATTTGTATATCTTTTCTTTCTTTTTCTTGCTTTATCACTCTTCCAAAGGTTCCCAAAACAATACTGAATAGAAGTGGTGAAAGTGGCCATCCTTGTTCCTGTTCTCAGGGAAATCAATCTCTCTCTATTGATAATGTTGTTTCATCTTGGTTTAGTATATATACTGTTCCCTACGTTGAGGGAATTCCCCTCTATGTTAATTTTATTGAGTGTTTCAATCAGAAAGTTTGTTAAGATAGTGACAAAGTCCTTTTCTGTATCAGTTCTTGTTCTTTGCTTTCTAAATATGATAAATTACATTAATTGTTTTTATTTCATTGAACCACGCTTGTGTAACTATTCAGAATTTCATTTGGTCATGATGCATTATTTTTTTTTAATATACTGTTGGATTCTATTGGCCAGGATATGGGTGAGTATTTTGTGTCTATGTTTGTGAGAGATATTCATCTAGAGTTTTCTATTTTTGTGGTGTCATAATTTGACTTTGGTATCAGGGACACGTTTACATCATAAAATGAGTCTGGGAGTATTATTTTCTGTTTTCTGAAATACTTTCGGTAGAATTAGTGGCAGCTCTTCTCTGGATATTTGATAATATTTACTAGTAAAGCCTGGTCCTGGGCTTTTTTTGTTGTTATTATTGTTTTGGGGAGACTTTTTTTATGACCTGTTCAATTTCTTAATTTGAAATGGGTCTTTCCACATGTTCTACTTCAGGCTTTGCCAGTTTGGGTGAATGGTGATAGGCAAAAGTTATGAATAACCACTTCACCAAAGACAAAATTCAGATGGTCAACAAACAGAAGAAATGTCCAAAATCCCTATCTTTCAGAGAGATAAAATAAAAATTACAATGACATATCACTGAACCCCCCAGCAACAATAGCAAAGTTCAAGAGGAAAGCAAACCACAAATGTTGATGAGGATGTAGAGAGACTGGAAGTCTTATCCCATGCTATTGGGAATGTAAATTAATACAACCACTATGGAAGGCAATCTGACACTTTCTCAAAAGTTGGAAATAAAAATACAATTTTACCCAGCTATCATACTAATGGGAATAAACCTTAAAAAAGGCAGAGTTTTGATACAAACAGATATATACAAACCCATGTTTCTTGCAGCATTATTCACAATAGCAAAGAGGTGGAAATAGGCCCAGTGCCTGTCACTAACAACAACAACAACAATAAAAAACCCCAAACCGAAAACTGTGCTATATCCACACAATCAAATATTACACAATTTTTTTGGGGGGGGATAGGACCTATAAAACACCACACAACATAAGTGGATCTGAAATACACTACTCTGAGTTAAATAACTCAATCACAAAATAAAATTATTCTTAAGACAACTGTTATCAAATAGGATTGGCACAAGGTAATGGGGGTAGTGGGAAGGGAACAGGAAAAGGGTGGATAGATAATGAACACTGCACTGGAACTAAGGAAAGAAAGGGCTGTCAGGAAAAAATGTATCATTAGGCATTATATGAATGACAACAATCTGAAACAAGAAGTGCATTACCAAGTAAATTGCAGGAGAGGGAGGAAAGTGTGGATCAATGAACAAATGAAAACCCAACTGATTCGTAACCTTCTGTTAAAACTACAATTTAAAAAAGCACACAAAAAATTACATGGGAAAATTTCTAGAGCACATTTTGCTACCTCTGGACTTGTCTTCATTTTCTTCAACCTCAATCTGAACTTTCACATGAGTAATTGCTGATTTGTTCTAGTCAACACCTGCCCTGCTTTTGACTGCTAATATCTC